TGGGTTCAGGAGGTCAAACTACTGCGGAGGGATGATGGGAGCTTCACCATTGAGAAAGTCCCGCTGGCTCTCCAGGATCTGGGCCACTTGCTTGATCCAGGCCTGACTGACTGCTGGGTCGGAAGCCTGCAGAACGTAGCGCTGGATCCCACCTTCCGGCCCCCTAGAGGTCAGCGCGAAACGGCAAGGGTTGCCTTGGAGGTTTCCCTCCAGGCCTAGGCAGCTCACCTGGATTTGCAAACAGGAACAGTCCTCAGGTTCTGCGGGCCCCTCCACCAACCCCAGGAGTCAGGTCTCACCCCAACCCGTCTGCCCCTCCCCACGGCACCCCCCCACACCTTGATACTGCTCTTGTACACGTAGCCAGGCTGTGTACCGCCTCGGCCTCCTCCTCCTGCTCCTCCCAATGCCTCGCTGAAGATGACGATTTGCTCAAACAGGAAGACGCGCCTCTCTCGACCCCGGGAAGAAAGCAGACCCCCAGCCTCGGGCTCTGTCACCAAGAATGTGTCCTGGCCCAAGAGCTTCCCCTGGGCCGTTAGTTTTCCCTGGAACCAAGGGACACGGCTGGCCTCTGAGAGAGCATGAGAAGGGTTCCAACAGAGCATCTGCTTCTCCCGCCCTCCCCGCCCCCGCCCCCCCCCCGCCCCCTCCCTGACACTCCCAACTAACCCTGGTGGAGTCTCAGAAGGTGATTCCTTATAAGGATCCGGAGTGCTAAGACCTGAGCTCTAGGACACTGCACTGCCGTTTCTTGCCCCGTTCCCATACCTCGAATCCTCGAAGTCTCCCCAGGGACATCATGTCATCACAACGCTTGGGTACGAAGCACATGACCTCCACAGCTTGCTGGGATAGAGGTGAAGAGGGGCATTGTTGGACACACAGGGCCATTCCTGGCAAACAGGCCTCCTTTCGAGAGAGGCAGACAGTTGCCTCTCCACACATCACCACCAGGGGGGCCTCTCCCTAAAAACCAGACCTCCCTGGACCACCCAGAGACTGAGGTACCCACGAGACTAAGAGAAGGTTCCTGGGAACCTCACCTCCAGCTCGTCAGTACCCAGGCCAGCTCTGCTGTAATACTTCAGAAAGTCCTAGGACACAAAGAAGAGATGTTCAGGGAGATTGTGAGCACACCCTCAGAAGTGCTCGCATCCAGCCCTGAGGACTGAGGAAATGCCTGTCCCAGCCAGCTGTGTCCCCGGGGCCTAGGGTGGTCCTGACCTTGAGCAACAGCTGGTATTTCATAATTCGCTGCACAGGTTTAATGAGGAGGTCATTGAGCTGCAGACGGTGTCCCAGCTGCTGCCTGAGCTCCTGGGGACAAGGACAGGCCTGAAAAGCCTGTTCACGCTGATTCTCTGCTCCCCTCCCCCCTCCCCTCCAAGGCACCCCAGCCACAACCACTGACCTCAAAGTAGCTGTCCCCAAATTCTGACACCACATGTTCTGACTTGGGCTTATTCTGACAGTAGACCACATACATATGCAGCCGGCGCTCCTAACAGGGGTAATGTTGAGCAGATGACGGCAGGGCAACCCAGGGCACATCTCCACTGAGCCCGGAACCCATCCCAAGTCCTTCCCCGGCTAGAGCCCGGCCTCACGTGTTTGATGAACAGCTGAGCCAACAAATCGGGATCTTTCAAACACAGCTGCAGCTCCTGCAGGAAATAGCTGGAAGGGTTGGGAGACAGGGCCCCACATCACATCGAACACTCCTCAGACCACTCAGCCCTCCCCACACATCCCAGATGTTCAGTCACATGCCCCAGTCACTCTCCCTACAAAACCCCAAGGCTCCTTGAGTCCCGGGGGACCCATGGCTGGGATGCAGAATCTAGGATAGAGAGATGACTAGACGGATGCCCTCCCCCAGCACCTGGCTCAGGGCTCCATCACTCACTCTCTGTGCCACTCATAGATTTGCTGAATGTTCCCGAACACAATCCTGTCACGACCTCGAAGACTCTCAGGGACCCCCTGAGTAGCCATGGTAGCCATGTAACCCTGTGGGGAGGATGAGAGGGGACTGTGAGCTTGTAACCTCGGCTCTGGGCAGCCCCAACACAGGGTCCAGAAGTAAGGGCACTAGGAAGCTGGTAGAGAGGCAGAGGGGCGCACCACCTCTTGAAGATGTCCCCAGGCAGAGGGAAGGGGTGAGTGGACCGTGGCCGGGAAGAGGAGAGAACTACCTCTACAATCTGTCCCAAGTCATCCACGTACATTTTTTCTGTTTCTACCAGCTCACTCAGGACAAACCTAGGGAGTACAAGGCGGTGCGAGGATGCCATCACTTCAGAGTCCAGAGACATCCTCAGCTCAGCCAGTTCTTCCTGGACTAAATGACCCTCCATCCCCACAGCCACCCCCGGAGGGCCAATCTTGTGGAAGCTTGGGAACTGGAGTGTGCTGTGAACTTACATACTCCTTTCCAGGGCGACCTTCTTCTGTTCTTCCTCATTCTGGGGAGCTTGAGACAAAGTCTCCTCTTCAGGTGGCTAGAAGGTAAGAGCATCCAGGGCAAAAAAAAAAAAAAAAAAACCTTTTCAGTGAGGAGCGCCTTTTCAGATCTATATTCATTTGTTTGTTTGTTTTCAGACAGGGTCTCTCTATGTAGTTCTGGCTGTCCTGGAACTTGCTATATAAACCCAGGCTGGCCTTAAACCTACAGATATCCACCTACCTCTGCCTCCTGAGTGCTGGAATTGAAGGTGTGGGTCATCATACCTGGCCTAAGATTTATTTTATTATTATTATTATTATTATTATTATTATTATTAAGGTATTGGGGTGCCACGTGTGTGCTGGTACCCACAGAGACCAGAAGAAGGTACTGGGTCCTTTGGAGTTGGAGATCCAGGTAACTGTGAATCACGTGATGTGGGTGCTAGGAACTGAACTTGGGTCTTCTGGAAGAGTAGCAAGTGTGCCTAACCACTGAGCCACACGTCTCCAGCCGTTACTTGATTATTTTGAAACATGACCTCCTATAGCCCAGGAGGGCCTGGAACTTGATACGTAGCTGAAGTTGGCCCTGAACAGGTGCGTGCCACATGCCCAGCTCTATGTCTCCATACCTGTGTCTTGTCTCCAGGACCCTCCAACAATGTAGTCAGTAAGGTTAGTTCTGGCAACCCCTCTCCTGCGGCTAGCGTTGGTTCCAGCATCCAGTTCTAAGGCCAGACAGGTGACTGAGGTCATGCACAGTAGATGGGCTCCCCTGCAGTGACCAGTGACCCCCAACCTGCTGCCCTCTTTCCCGGGGTCGTTCCTGGAGGCCCTGCTTCTGTGGCACAGGCTGCTCACCTCATATTGTCCTGTTTGACCACTGTCTGCCTCGGTTTCCACACTGAGGCAATGTTTGGAATGATCCAACCATCTCCTCAGGCCAGCTACGGGTCCAGGGGGGACCGGAGAACAGGGGTGAGAGCTGAGGCCAGAGCTGGGGCCAGACGGGGCAGCCAGACCCGAAGCAGCGGAGGCTGACACGCTCCCCTCACTACCAGCAATGGAGTAGGATTCTAACCGGAGAGAAAGAGAGCAGTTGACGGACACTGCCCCAGCGCCAGACTTGGGGTCCTAGGGGGATTCCCAGGCCGTCCTCTCCGTGATGTGCAGACCCTGTCCTCCAGGGTCTTTTGCCAACTCTCGTTTGAACCTGCCAGGATAGAAATCTTTGCAAGGGCACCCCGGGGCGGAAGGACAGAAAACACCTGGCTCCGAGGCCTGTCCTCCCCCAGTTCCACGCGGAGGTTCCCCATACCCTGAGCACAGCACAGATATGGGGGTGGGGGCAGCCATCTGGGCAGATACTGGAAACTGGGGGGGTAGCCATCTGCTTTCCTACAGCACTCCCCCTTCCAATAGGTACAGACCATTCTCCCAGAGAGGGGTGAGAACAGGAGTGAGGGGTGAGAACTCGGCTGTCTGCCACCCCCAGACCCCTCCTCCTCCAGCGCCAGTAATTACTATATAATTTTTTTTTTTTTTTGGACTGCCCACCTCTGCAGCACATGCACATACCCAACAGAGAGGCCGTGAGGAGAGCGCAGCAGGGGGTCATCTTTGGTCAGCAATTGAGAAAAGCTGCCATTCTGAATTCTTTCAAAGCCCCTTACAGTCACCCCCCCACCCCACCCACCTCCCCACCCCCCCACCCCCCAGTTCTCATTCCCCTGCTCTCTTCTCAGAATACTTTTCAGCCAAGCGATGTGAGCGAAGATACGTGGTTCTGGGCCTAAGAAGATCGTGAGAGAATTTTTTCCTCCTAGCCAGCTGATTATAGCAATGAGTCCTCTGACCCTTCCCCAATTCCCTCAACTTGGAAATCGAGCGGGAAGGACCTTAGAGAGTCTCTGTTAAATCGCTTTCCTGGAAACACACAGAGGCTCCAACCCTAAATCCCTAGGGCCGGAGCCAGCAGATGCCCCAAACCCCAGCTCAAGGCACCCCCACCCCCTACTCAAGGCTGCCCCCCTCACACTCACCACGTCCCCCCCGGGCGAAGCAGCAGCCGCATTTTGCCAGCACTTTCCGGATCACTCGGGGACAGGCACAGCGACCCTCTTTGTGACCCCCCCGCATGGCGCCCGGGCCCCCCCGCACCCCCCACCCGGGCCGGCCATGCAGGGGGAATCACGGGGGGCGGGGCGGGGACGGCGCAGGGCGCACACCCCCCTCCCTCCCACCGGGGTCCAGGCTTGGGGATGCAGGGGGGGGGTGGGGGGATGGGGAGGAAAGGGATGGGAAGCGGGGGGTCCAGGAGTAGACGGAAGTCGGGGCAGGGGAGCGTGGAGGGAGGGCCGTGCGGGGCCGGGCCGCCGAGTGGGGCGGGGAGGGTTTCCGGAACCCTGGCGGTGCGGGGGCCCGGGGTCCAGATGTCCAGCCAGAGGGGGAGGGACAGTGGGGGGAGGCCCGGCCGGGATGCGACAGCAGCTCCGGGAGCTCCGTCTCCGGCCTCGGCTCAGAGGTGGCTCTAGGCCCGG